ACATACATACATACATACATACATACATACATACATACATATTTGGATGAGGCTATTTTTGTATCTGAAAAAAATAAATTGGGTCTGAGACTGATCGTACCTTTGTTTATTTTAGGACGGAAGAATGTATAAGATGGACACCCCAGTCACACACACTTCATACCAGCCTACAGAGTTGGAAAGAAACATGTATTACATCTTGACTGAAAACTACCATTATGGCAGCAAGCTTTTCCACGCAGGGAGCATGTGTTTTCTGAGAGAACAGACATACCTGCAGCACATTAGCAGGTCGTCTACTCGCATGTGGCGGTTTATTATGGAACAGGATGGTTCCGTGGCTACTGTGGACGTGGAAAGCCTGCAGCCGGTGAACGAGAAGATGGCCGACTTCCTTCTGGCCATTAGCAACGCACAGGAACGCTTGAACTGTTTTCTAGACAGGCAGGTTCTCGATGCCGCCATGACGGCTGAACCAGGTCAGCAGGTCTTGGTCGATCTGGAGGATCAGTTTACCCCTGCGGCCATCCGCTACATTGGGAAACTCCACAACTGCCCTTTACCATCAGGGGTCTATCCAATTTACTTTGGAGTGGAATTGCAGGTAAGCGGGATGTAATAAAAAAGGGCTTCTATTTTTGGGCCAGACTCTGGGAAACTTAATTCACTTAGTGACCGTTCAAAGTTACACCAGCACTGAAAAACGTTTAGGATCGTTTTTCATACCTATGACCTTTACACCATACCCACGGTCATGTGATCAAAATTCACCTGCTCGGCAATAGACTCATACTTACAACGGTCGCAGTGCCCCAGGGTCACGTTATCCCCTTTTGAAGCAAAGTCAGCGGGGAAGCCAGATTCACTTAACAACTGGGTGACTAACTTATCAACTGCAGGGATTCACTTAACAATAGTGGCAAGGTCGTAAAACGGGGCAAAACTGACAACAAATGTCTCACTTAACAGCACAAATGTTCGGCTCATTTGTGGTCGTAAGGACTGCCTGTATACTTCCAATATATGCTCACTCTCTTTTCCTTTAACGAATTCACCTGTACCTGTAGTCAGCTGAAACCCGTTGTATGCAGACCTGTCTCCTCAAGCAGGTGATATGGTGAGTTTTCAACTTCAGCATGAATGGAACACTTTTCCGTTTTGGAAGGATGGAAATTTAAAATGCAAGTAGTCCTCAACTTACAACCATTTTTTTAGTGACCATTCAAAGTTACAGCAATAAAGGAGAATCTTTGTAGCTCAGGGTTGAAATGTGGGGTCCTTGGTGCCCTCTGAGCTTGGAGGTTTTCATCCCGACATTTCATCATCTAAACTAAGTGATGTAATCAGAGCTACATGGCACTGAACGACCAGTTTTCACACTTACCCCATGGTCACGTGGCCAAAACCCAGGCATTCGGCAAGGGGCATGTATTTATGCCAGTTGTACTGTCACAAGGTCAAGTGGTCATTGGTAACTTGACCGGCCGGCTTCCCACTAGCAAAGTCATCTTCGCTTAACCAGTGCAGTGATTCGCTTAAGAACCGGTAAAAAAAAACAAGAACTTTATAAAATGGGGCAACATTTATTTAACAACTTGCCTTGCTTAGCAATAGAAAGTTTAGACTCAATTCTGGCCGTAAGTGGAGGACTATTCTATGCTGCGGATCTCATTGGCCAAAGAATTCTAACTGGTGGGGTTTCTCTGCCGTTGCCCCCAGCATGTGGAACACTTCCCTCCCTCGGGAGTGAGGCGAGCCCCCCCACTCTCCTATCCTTCTGTAAAGGCATTTATGGGATGTCCAGGGAAGCATGCAGCCACAGGGCTGATTTGGCACCCTGAAAGCCCTACCCCCACCCTACTTTTTAATCAATTTTAGCATTTTATTGCCTCTTTTAAATTTTACATACTGTTTTTGATGCTTGTAATATTTTATTGTATACTCCTCTGTGAGGGAGATGGGTAGTTCTTAAATATAACTTACAAATAAATATTAGTGATAACTTACATCTTGAGTCTTAGTCTGTTGAATGTTTGTTGTACAAATCTAGATCAAGTAAAAAAAAAACATAGTGATATAGTCTGATCCCAGGTAGTCTTTGAGTTACGGCTATAATTGACACCAAAGTTTAGCTTGCTAAGTGAAACATGTTTAAGGGAGTTTTGCCCCATTTTTCTGGTCACAGTCGTTAAGTGAATCATTGCATTTGTTAAGTTAGTAACATGGTTGTTAAATGAATCTGGCTTCCCCATTGACTTTGCTGGTCAGAATGCCGCAAAAGGGGAACATGTGACCCCGGGACACTGCAACCGTCATAAATATGAGTCAGCTACCAAGCATCTTAATTTTGACCATGTGGATGCTGCATTGGTCATAAGTGTGAAAAATGGGTCATGAGACCCTTTTTTCAGTGCCGTTATAACTTTGAACGGTCACCAAATAAACTGTGGTAAGTTGGGGACTGCCTGTATCGGGATTCTGCTGACTCCTGTGAAGGGTCTCTGTGCTAGAATTCACAGTTGCTGCTGTTTAGAGTAAAAAGAATGGAAAGCAGAGGTGTCCAACCTTGGCAACTTTAACACCTGTGGACTTCAATTCCCAGAATTCCTAGCCAGTTGGCTGGAGAATTCTGGGAGTTGAAGTCCACCTGTCTTAAAATTGCCAAGTTTGAGAAATACTGAATTAGTGCAACGCACCCTGAAAAATTCAATCTCTGCCCCAAATCTAAGAGAGATTATCTCCTTGGGGAAATAATTTTGATTTGCTTTGACCCTAACCAGATATCCTGTGGATATGCTGAGGAATTCTGGGAGTTGAAGTCCACCTGTTGTATACATGATGGCTGGGGAATTCTGGGAGTTGAAGTTGCCAGGGTTGAGAAATAGCGAATTAGTGCAATGCACCCAGAACGATTCAACCTCTGCCCCAAATCTAAGAGTTATTATCTCCTCGGGGAAAGAGACTTGCTTTAACCCTAACCAGACATCCTGTGGATAGTCTGGGGAATTCTGGGAGTTGAAGTCCACAAACCTTAACGCTGCCAAGGTTGGGCTCCCCTAGCATAAGGCTGCGCTGTGGAGTCCCCTCAGTCATGACCTCTGTCTGCTACTTCTCTAGGGTGACGGTGAAGGCAGAGGCCGCTGTGCCGGCACCTGCCACGGGGTAGAATACTTCACGTGTAAACCCAACTGCGGCCTTTTCCTGCCATTCAACAAGCTGCAGTTTCTGCCAGCCTCAGAGACCGACCAAGAGGAGGAGAAAAGGCAGAAGACTGACGGAATCATGCCAGTGAAAATGGGCGACACCGTCGGCTTTTATTTAGATGATGCCTTCACACGAGGGATAGTCCTGGAAGTGTATCAGGAGGGGAATCAGTGGATGGTGAAAGTATGTCCGGTAAGGAGGTCTCGAAGAGAAAACTTAACTCCTGAAATTTATTTGTTGGTTTGATTAGCTTTTTTCCTCTTGTCTCAAAGGTGCTTTTAAAAAGACAATCAAGCTTTCTTTTTCTTTTTGAAAACGTGTTGCTTCTCATCCAAGAAGCATCTTCAGTTCAGTTCTTCAGTTCTTGGATGAGAAGCAAAACATTTTCAAACCCCACATTCACCAGCACTGATGTTACCTATCTGGGTAATGAAACGTCTGCAAATAAACAACCACACTTAATTTTAATGGAAGAACACAGTCCAGCTGCCTTTTGAAAATAATTTTTGGGGCAGCCATGACCTGGAAGATTGAGAATCTCTATAAACCTGACACTTATTTCTACCCTGCCTTTGTAATTTTCATGTATAATTTAAGGTGATGAACATACCTAATACCCCTCCCTCCTTCTCTTTTCCCTGTGAGGTGCCTTGGGCAGAGAGAAGGCCCAAATGTTGATACTTCCGTGTTAAAGGCTGGGACAGCATCTTAGCTGGTCCTGTGGCAGCTTTTAACTGGGGAAGTAGAATGACATTCTAAGTGGGCAACTTGACTGAGCTAATCTTTGCTTCACCAATCAAATACTTGATGCTTGAATAGTGTTGGGCATCAGGCTAAGCAGGTGTGAAGCTCAGGAAAGCTGTTTCATCAGCCTTAGAAGATAAAAGCATAGAATAATTGTCAGGTGCAAGGAATTGGGAGGTAGAGTTAGGTCCAAAATGAACAGAAGTTTATTTCATGCTACCTCTAAACAAGAATCCGGACTACTAACAGCCAGGGCAAATAGGCGGTAAATAAGAGTCAATAGAATTCAAGGAAGGCTAGACAGATCTCTTGTGGGCATGAAGGGACTCTAAACTGATGATGCATTTGATCCCTCCCTCCCTCGGGCTGGGCCTGGTTATCTCCTACAATAATAGGATTGGAAGGGACCTTGGAGGTCTTCTAGACCAGCTCTCTGATTAAGCAAGAGATCCCATATCAGAAAAATGGCTGTCCAGTCTCCTCCTGAAAACCAAGTGATGGAGCACCCACAATTTCTTAAAGGCAAGCCGTTCCACTAGTCGATTGTCCTCACTGCCAGGACAGTTCTCCTTAGTTCTAGGTAGGTTCTCTCTTGAATCATCTTCCACCCTTTACTTCCGGCCCTCAAATGCTTTGGAGAATGAAGCGAGTCCCTCTTCTCTGTGACAGCTCCTCAAGTACTGGAAGGCTGCTATCATATCATCCTTTGTGATAGGTTACAGCGGTATAAAACAGCCTTTTCTGTATTGGCTGGGTTGCTGAGAATTGGGGGAGCTATAGTCCTAACACAACTGGAGGGGGGGGGTTGTCCTAATTGTTTGTCACTGAGAGTGACTGAGCGGCCCTATAAACCCTCTAAACAAACACACACACACACACACACATTGAGCTGGCTGCATTGTAAGAGCTTGTGGTCCATATGATTCTTTCTGTTCATGCATTTTGTGACTCACTTGGATAACCAGATACCCCTTGGGAACAGTTACAAACAATAATGGCCTTTTTATTTTGAGAGAGAAAAATATGAGCTGGTTTTGTTTTTGTTTTTTCAGAAAACCTCCATTCCCTTAAACCGGTTTGTTTCTTTGCTTCTTAGGTGGGAAAGGAAATAAAGGTTTTGTAAAAGCTTATAATACTTGCTTTGAGAAAGGTAGAAGAAAATTGGAAACTAATTAGCTTGCGGGCGTCCAATGTCTCTGCAGGGGACATATGGGGACATACGCTACCAGGGCCAAACATGGATGTTTACAATAAAAACATAAACAAAAGTTAAGTCACCATGGACCTTTGAGGAAAGTAGCTGGAGTGACCAGAAAAGACAAAATCAGGAATGAAATCATAAGAGAAAGAATAGGCATAGAACCCATCTTAAGCCACATACAAAAAAATAGCAAAGTGGTTTGCTCACCTGGAGAGGAAGGTCTTGGGATTCCATACTGTACGAGGCGTATAAAAAAGAGGAGAAGGTCAAAGAACACGAGGCAGACCCAGGCATGCCTATTTAAGAGCAGAAAGAAATAAAACAGAATCGTCATGGCTGAATTATAGGAGGAAAGCATTTATTAAGTGAACTCAAGAGCGTATTAGAAAACGCCCGTCTTCCCCAAGTGAACTGATTACTCAATTTGTAACACAGCATAGGCAATTCTTTGTGTATTGAGGCAACCTTTTACTTTTTATAAGGATACGGTCACTGGGTAGATAGAGATGAAGTGACCCAGGATTGCCAAATTTCATGAGATTCTCACCATCTGACGCCTGAGAACACTGGCAAAGAAACATTGGTATTTCTTGGGAATTGCTAATTTAGTGAGGTTTGGACTAATTTGAGGGCTCCACAAGTGTGTTGCCAATTGACATGCTGCAGGGTTCTCCAAAATATTATTTGTTTATTTATCAGTTGATTGATTTACTTATCTGTCCATCTGTCCACCTCTCTCTCCCTCCCTCCCTCTCCCTCTCTCCCTATTCCTCTCTCTCTTTCTCCTTCTCTCTCTCTCCAATCTGGTTTACCTATCTCACTTTCCAAGTGACTCCGGGTGGTTTACAGACAAATTAGTTATGTCACCAATCTTTTCATAAGATTAGGTTCTCAGCAGCTGTTGTCAGCACCCTCGTGAACTGAATGTGGCACTTAATATTTCCCCTGGATTTTTTGTGATGGACACCACTTTCTTTGTAGACCAACAAGGATGATCTCTGAACATGTGTTTTTCTGAAAGAAAACCTTTTTCCTCCAAGTAACATTATTTTAAAATGAGGGAGTTATTTTAGACTACCTTCGAATAAAATACAGAGGCAAGGGTGTGAGGGCAAAGAGGATTTCATTTCTCATAAATACAGGGTGATCTTATTTTACTACTACGTACTACTAGTTGACTATATAATAGACTGTATAGAAAAATGCCTTCCTAAAAGCTGTCTATGGAGATTCTCCGTCATCCAGATCCTGGTTGTCCCAAAGGGGCCTTTTTTTTCAAGAGGCAGCTGGACTCTCTGGTTTTTCTTTGAAGACATTTTGTCTCTCATGCAAGAAGCTGTTTCAGCTGGGAAGCTTCTTGGATGAGAAGCGAAATGTCTTCAAAGGAAAAACCAGGAAGTCCAGTTGCCTCTTGAAAAAAAAAAAGGCACCTTGGGGACTTCATTTTAAAACAATCCTCTAGACTTGGGCAAAGATTGGGCTGAAATTTCAATTGTCTTTTGCCCTTGACTAGATTGATTTGGAATCCAGTTGCGTAAGGAAAATGACACAATGCATTTTTTTTTCTAATGTAAATTCATCAGCTTGAATTTCCCTGTGGATATTCTCAATCATCCAGGTCATGGTTGTCCCAGGGGTATCCCCTCCCACACAAACACACAAAAAAAAGGCAATTAGACTGTCTTCGTTTGTTTTCTTTTGAAAACATTTTGCTTTTCATCCAAGAAGCTTCTCCAGTTTTGAGAAGCAAAACAAAAAACAAAACCCCCAAGGAAGTCCAGTTGCCTTTTGGGGGGAAAAAAACACATTTGGGACATCAAAACAAACTATTTATCCAATTTATTTCTCACAGTTCAGAAGACTCTGGGCAGGTGCAACGATGCAGTTCCAGCACCTGTTCTATGTTGGAAGGAAGGCTCCCTCCATTCCATCCACAACTATCCCTCAGGTCTTAAAACCCAGTGAAGTTTATTCCTTCTCTCCTTCGTTTTAGGAGGAAGAGGGCTCGGCAGACGTTTTCCGGGAGATCCCTCTGGATTCGGTGGTAAAGGAGGAGCTGCTCTGCTTAGGTAAATGGCTTTTTGGACAGTTTTTATTGCCCTGAGTTTGGAGGCTGACTGAAAAACAAGGACACAGGTAATCCTCAAGTTACAACTGTTTGTTTAGTGATTGTTCGAAGTTACAACAGCACCGAAAGCAGTGATTTAGGACCGTCTTTCACACTTATGACCTTCGTCGTTTCCCTACGATCAAAAATTCAGGTGCTCGGCAACGGACTTGGACTTACGACCGTTGCTGTGTCCCAGGGACACATGAATCCCCTTTTCCGACCTTCTGACCAGCAAAGCCAGTGGGGAAGCCCGATTCACTTAACAACCATGTGACTAACTTATCAACGGCGGTGATTCCTTTAACGACCGGGGCAAGAAAGGTCATAAGATGAGCCAAAATTCACTTAGCAAATGCCTCACTTAAAAAAAAACACAGAAATTTTGGGGCTCAGATTATGGTTGTAAGTCAAGGACTGCCTGTAGTCAAATATAACGGAGCAGGGTGTCACACCTGCTCCTCTCTGGGCTTTTAGAAAACAAGGAAAGCCAAACATCGTCACATCAGAATTAAAAAAGGTTGAGCAGAAATAAATAGACCGGCCTCGTTTTTCTGTATTTGATATATAGACTCGGATTCTGGGCTCCAGGATTATCTCGAACGTAAGAGAAGAAGCGATAATTCAGTGAATTCACAAGACAAGGCTTCCTCTCTAGATGTCAACTCTGTGGTGCAGATCAACTTAGACGAGGGACGTGCTATGACAGGGACTATCCGTTGGATTGGCTGCCTGCCTAATGCCCAGCATAGGATGGCTGGAATTGAGTTGGTAAGCAACCATCCTTTTGTACTGTGTCCCCCCCCCCCCTCTCTCAATACCGATGGATGCTGGTAGGCAGAGGCAGAATTTTCCCCCCTTATTTTCCTCCCCCCAAAATAATCCCGATCACATAGTTTCGTAGTGAAGCACAGGCATCGAGCTAGTGTGTGTATATATACATATACATATATGGCATTCAGCTTTGTTCGGGTATTTTCCCACGTCATTGTAGTTGTGCTTTTAAAGTTGTAGCAACGTTTCGGCAGAATCTCATCTGCCATCATCAGGCTTCTGAAGATGATGAATGAGACTTCATCGAAACGTTGCCTAGATACTTCCAATCTTACGCGGGAGAAAACCCGAATAACCAAAGAACTTTAAAAGCACAACTACAATGACAGTGGGAAAATACCCGAACAAAGCTGAATGCCATACATGTAAGTACCCGCGAAAACTTGAGAAAACACATATACATATGTATGTATGTGTGTGTGTATATATATATATATATTTGTGTGTGTGTATACACACACACTATACACACACACACACACACACACAATGTGTGTACAAAAATGCTTATTGAAATGATCAAATACAGGTAATCCTCAACTTACAATAGCTCGTTTAGTGACCATTCAAAGTTACCACAGCACTGAAATAAGGGACTATTTTTCACACAACCGTTGCAGCATCCCCATGGTCACGTGATCAAAATGTGGACATTTTGGCAATTGAGTCCCATTTATGACAGTCGCAGTGTCTCCCGGGGTCACGTGATCCCCTTTGGCAACCTCCAGACCACGAAAGTCAACGGGGAAGCCAGATTCACTTAACAACCGTGCGATGAACTTAACAACTGTAGGGATTCCCTTAACCACTGTGACAAGAAAGGTCCTAAAATGGGGGCAAAGCTCACTTAATTACCAATGTCTCGCTTAGCAGCATAAATGTTGGGCACCATGGCGGCCACAAGTCGAGGACTACCTGTAATAGGATGCCTGTCCTCCTCCCTGGCAGGATGAAGAGAATAACAGCTTTTCCGATGGAGAGTGGCAAGGGGTGCGCTACTTCACCTGTCCTCCGCATCGGGCCCTTTTTGTGCGGCTGGAGTCGTGCCAACCCGATTCGCGGTTCCAGGGGAACAAGAGCCTGTTTGAGGAGCCCTCTGAATGCAGTAAGTCCCTTCCCTGCAGCGGCTGGATGTTGACTCCCTGGAGCCGGGATGGCGAACCTTTTCCTTGTCGCGTGCCGAAAGCGCGCGCCCCCGTGCCTGCACCCATAATGCAATGTGGGGGCCCCACGCATGGGCGGCAGATACCCAACAATCAGCTGGCTTGGCGGGGGTTGCGCACACATGCGCAGTGGCTCTGTTCCCGGCGACGGCTCATGTGCCACAGAAATGGCTCTGCGTGCCACTTCTGGCGCATGGGCCATAGGTTTGCCATCACAGCCCTAGAGCCTTCAATGGGCATCGGTTTGAACCCTTGGTCAGGGCAAGAAAATGAGCTTATATGTTTACTTATAAGTAATTCAAGGCAACAAACCTACCTAGCACTCCTTCCTCCTGTTTTCCTCCCAACAACAGCCCTATGAGGTGGGTGAGGCTGAGAGAGAGTGACTGGCCCAAAGACACCCAGCCGGTTTTCATGCCTAAGGCGGTACTAGAATTCACCCTCGCCTGGTGATTCGCCCAAAGTCACCCAGTTGGCTTTCATGCCTAAGGCGGTACTAGAATTCACCCTCTCCTGGTGATTCGCCCAAAGTCACCCAGCCGGCTTTCATGCCTAAGGAGGGACTAGAATTCACCCTTGCCTGGTGAGTCGCCCAAAGACACCCAGCCGGTTTTCATGCCTAAGGCGGGACTAGAATTCACCCTCGCCTGGTGATTCGCCCAAAGTCACCCAGCCGGCTTTCATGGCTAAGACGGGACTAGAACTCACCCTCGCCTGGTGATTCGCCCAAAGTCACCCAGTCGGCTTTCATGTCTAAGGCGGGACTAGAATTCACCCTCGCCTGGTGATCCACCCAAAGTCACCCAGTCGGCTTTCATGCCTAAAAAACTAGAAACTGTGGAACTAAAAACTCTGGAACTAGAACTCACTGTCTCCTGGTGATTGGCCTAGAGTCGTCAGGCTAGTCTAGAGAAAGGAAGGACTAGGGGTGACAGGGTACAGTGTTCCAGTATTTGAGGGGCTGCCACCAAGAAGAGGAGGTCAACTTATTTTCCAAAGCACCAGAAGGAAGGAGATGAAACAATGGATGGAAACCAATCAAGGAGAGAAGCAACCTGGAATTAAGGAGAAACTTCCTAACGGTGAGGACAATTGACCAAAGGAACAGCTTGCCACCAGAAGTCGTGAGTGCTTCTTCATCACTGGAGGTTTTTAAGAAGAGACTGGACAGTCACTTGTCCGAAATAGTATAGGATCTCCTGCTTGAGCAGGGGGCTGGAGTAGAAGACCTTTAAGGTCCCTTCCAGCTGAATTCTGATTCTGATACAGCCAGCTTTCATGGTTCACCCTCTCCTGGTTTCTAGGGGCCTTAACCAGTACACAAACTGGTTCATATGGTTAAATTGTTCCTAACTGATGGCTCTTTACCCTTTGCCCAAACGCGTCCAGGAACTCACCATCTTTCTAGGCAAGTGTGACTGATCCTTAACCAGGAGGAACAAGAGGCTCATAGGAGTCTGACCCATGCCCTTTTCCAACAAGTCAAAACACAATCCAAAAGGAACAGAAACCTTGTAATGCTTTTACAAAATAATCAGCTGTGATAAGCACGAGCCTTGCCAAACTGTAAGACTTGCCAAAAGATAACAGATAAGAAATAATTTGCAATACAAGAATCTTCAAATACAAACTCATCATACTGGAATGTGCATGAGGCTGAGTTTCAAAACGTTTTTGCTTCCTGCAAAGAACTTTCGCTTCACAGCTGGCTTTTATCTTCTTGAAGGAGGGGCCATGACCTTGCAGCCTTACTCCCGAGTTGCCCGTGCTGCTGCAGCTGCTCTTTCCTGCGAGCAGCCCCGCACGCACGCGCCCTTAGCACAGGCTCCTCGGGAACCTCCTCATCTCTGCTGCCAGCCCCCACAATCTCTAAAGGCAGCAGTCCACTCCCTGATGGTCCTGGCCCCTCATCTGAGTCCTTGCTCTCCTCAGCCATCCGCACCTGCTGCCAGCTAACCACAACAGGGGGTTGGGGGGGGGGGGAAGACTTCCTGCCAAAGCCACCTGCCTCCAAAGGGAAGAAATTCACAGTCTCAAACCAGAATAACTTTTAACGTGATTTCAACTATGTCATAACTCAGCAGGCAGTAAATCGTCTCAGCTGTCAAGCAGACAGGATGGGTGTGAGATCCAAAGCTCATTGCAGGATCCAAAACAAAGCATCATCCTTCTCCTTTGGCTTGGCTTGGCTTGGCTTGAAAGACAGCCAATAAAAATGAGTGTATGGCCTCCTTTGGTAAAATTTGCACTGCCTAGGAAAGTTTTCTGAACATTCACCTGGGATCTACCTACCTGTAACCCCAAACCATTAAAGCATCCTTCTCAAGCGTAGAAAGTTAGTTTGAGGAAGTTCGAGATCCCGTCGCAGGATTTAAGCTGCTGGCATGTGATGGGGAAGGAGGTGGGGATTTTGTCAGTGTATTATTTAAGATTTAATCTTCAATTCGATTTACAGTCTGGGACTGATAAAAACTTAACGGTTCAGGTCCTAACCAAGGACCTAGGAGCTGTTAAGGTAACGTCTGAGTATATAGGCAGTTCTGAATAAGGTGGTTTTTTGCAAAGTCAGAATATTGCAAAGTCTGATCAGTCCAAAGTTTTCATGTATCTAGGCAGCCCTTTGGGGATCGCTCCAAAGGCTCCTGTTACTATTGGTAGAACCATTTATTTCCACAATCGCTCGACTTCAATTTGCAGATCGTGATATTTCTTTATTTTTAATAGCTGTTTTCTCTCCAATTCCTGCATCACCTGGTATTGCAATATCAATCAACATGACTTTTTTTCTTTTCCATAATCGCCATGTCAGGTGTGTTCTGTCTGTCTGGATCCAAAAGTCCCACAGGATCTTGACTTGCTCATTTTCAATAATTCTCCTCCTCCTCTTCTTCTTCTTCTTCTTCTTCCTCCTCCTCCTCCTCCTCCTCCTCCTCCTCCTCCTCCTCCTCCTCTTCTTCTTCTTCTTCCTCCTCCTCCTCCTTTTCCTCCTCCTCCTCCTCCTCCTCCTCTCCTCTCATTCTTCCTTCTTATTTTTCTTTCTTATCCTTATCTCTTTTATTCATTAAACGTGAAACTCAGCCAACTGAACATTTAAAAATGCATCACAAATACCAGTGACTGGCGCTGATGGTTGATACGGTTCGCTGCCAGCATCCTAGAGGTATCGACCAAGCATCTTCTTAAAATAGACGATGTTCTGTGTAGCGCAGGGTTTTTTTGCAGTTCCTCTGGTGTTATTGCAGGAAGCTGCAACTTCTAGATGAATTTTGCAAAGTTCTTGGACATGGTACCAAGTGCCCCGATGACAGTTGGGGTATCATTGTTACATGTTTCATCCATAATTGCGTAGTTTCGATGGCCGAATTGCGATATTTTCTGATTATTTTTTTCCTAGTTCTTTTTCTTCTACCCTGGCATCTCCCGGTACAGTGATACCAATAAATTGTACGCTTCGGTTTTCAACAACTGTGAAATCTGGCATGTTGTGTTCCAAATGACGATCCCTCCGTATTCGAAAGTTATTGTTGTTGTTGTTATTTGAACAGAGAATCCTGCTGTGTTTCAGGAGAGGCGGACACTCTGTCTGTTCAGAGCAACTCCCCACCCCTGAGAGCCGAGGTGGCTGTGAATGTCCTCCGAGGGCGGATGAGAGGGATCCAAGGCCACTGTAACTCCTGCTACATGGACGCTGCCCTATTCAGGTTTGCAGCCCTACCACGCTTCCTTCCCCCCTGCAGGTGAAGGTGCTGCCTTTGGAGCTCTGCTTGTTCATATCCTTGCTTTCCCTCCCCTCCGTCTCGTTCTCCCTAAACCTCTCTCCCCTCCACCCTGACGCGTTGGACTGACCGGCCCATCCTCTCTCACCACAGCCTCTTCTCCTGCACCTCGGTGCTGGATTCCATGCTGTATAAGCCCTCTCTCCCCGCTGATGGGCGCATCCAAGAGATCCTCCGGGACAAGATCGTCAACCCTCTGAGGCAGTAAGTGGCCTCCTGCATGCGCGCGCAAAGCGTAGTCACCGAACCAGTAGTAACACCAGTTGAATCCCACCACTGCCCTCACAACATGATACAGTGGGAATTCCAGGCTCCCCTAGGGTTGTAAGTCAAGAACTTATGTAAAGTAAAGAATATAAGTAAAGAATTCTATTCCAAATTCTATTCAAAAAAAAAAAAAATCCTATCTGTAGCAGCTAGACCAGGTTTGGCATGGATTTTAGCGGCCTGAATTGAAGCCATGACTTAGCGGCATGTTTCTTTTCCTTCACCTTTCAAAAGCAGAATAAATTGAGCCCGATTTTGTAGTTAAGGCACGGGATGGAAATTGCCGGGATTTTGGGTGCAGAATAGTGGCGGCCAGAATTCAGTTCTCGATTGTGTCTTGAGATTTTGCTTTTTGTCTGGGTCGTACACAGGAATGGCTTTGTCGCTGCCAAAAGTGTGATGGATCTTCGGTACCAGCTGACCGAAAAGGGACAATCTTCCAGTTTTGCTACTTCGGAGAAAGGTGCCCCTTTTTCCTCCCTTTCTCTCTCTTAATATGAAATTGTGAGATTCTGCTTTCAAAATTGGGGGAATGAAGGTGGGCCTGGATTCCCAAGATCACTGGCTGTGATTTTTGTGGGAGTGATGGGGAAGGAGGTAGGGATCATGGAGTAGATTCCCATGCTGAGCAGTGGTTTGATGATCTGTCTTTTATCTTTTATATGTAACAATTTTATTGGCTTTATATCAAGGGTCTTCAAACTTGGCAAGTTTAAGACTGGTGGACTTCAACCCCCAGAATTCTTGAGCTAACCTGACTGGAGGAGGAGGAGGAATTCTGGGAGTTGAAGTCCACAAGTCTTAAAGCCGTCAATTTTGAAGACCCCTGCCTTATACTAACTATAGCATATAATGAAAATATAAAAGTAAATAATAGGAAAGATAGGGGAAGAAAAAGGGAAGAGAAAAGTGGGGGAAAGGAAAAGAAAGAAAGGGCATTGATTTCTGACTCCTTCCGGTGCAGTAGAATAAGGCATTAACATCAAACCTTAACTTTTTAATTTTTGCATAATAGTTTAAAACTAGCCATTTTTATAAGAACAAATCTATCAAATCGGTAAAACCCAAAATCAAAGTTTCTTTCTTTTTTTTCTACCTCAAGCACAAAGTCTAGAAGTGGTTTCCAAGCAGAAATAAATGATGACTTGTCTTTTATCGAATAAACCAGAACTGTCTTGACTGTGCCAAAGCCAAAGAGAGCACCACTTTCTTGGAGAAAAGGCAAAATAAGCTTTTGAAAATCTCTTAGTTAATTCCGCGCAGTGCTACGGAGCATGAAATTAAGAGCATTGGGCCCGTTAGAACGGTTAGAACAATCAGCCAGTGGAACGATCTTGCCTGTAGAAGTTCTGGGTGCTCCATCACTGGAGATTTTTACTGGACAAACATTTGTCTGAAATGGTGTAAGGTCTCCTGCTGGAGCAGGGGGCTGGACTAGAAGACCTCCCGGGTCCCTTTTTAGCTTTGTCATTTTGTATTCTGATTGGTGAATTACTAGTAAATTATTCAAGGTCTGACTATGGCAGGAACTGACAACTCTCAGTCTGGGCAAGGCGTTCCAGAAGGGGAGCAAAGATGAAAACCTCCATCCATTCCCGGCTGCCACCTCTTCTTTCCTATAGAATGTATTACATTATAGGGTGGATGCCCCAATTTAATTCACAGGTGTTTTACAAAACCTTGGGAAGGGAACGAAAAGGCAGGGCAAGAAATAACAGAGAGGTAGGATCTTACCAACCTAGTGATCCAACCTAGAACTAAGGAGGAATTTCCTGACAATGAAACAGTGGGATGGCAATTCCAGACATTGTGAGGGATCCATCACTGGAGGCTTTCAAGAAGAGATCAGCGGAATGCCTGAGCGCAGGGGGTTGGACTAGAAGACCTCCAAGGTCCCTCCCAATTCTTGTTATTCTGCCTTTCCACGATCCTTTCTTTTGTGATTAAATCACCTCTTGGTGATTTTATCTGGCTTATTCAAAGAAGGGTGTGTGCTTCTGGCTGTAGCAGCGTTTGTCCTCCATGGAGGGAGGGAACAAGGGGTGTGTGGGTGTGTGTGTGGGTATCATTTGGTGCTGCATTTGACCTGGAGGGCCCCTCCTCTGCTCTTTCAGACCCGGAAGAGTTTCTGAATCTGATCATGCATCGCATTCTTGGGCTGGAGCCGCTCTTGAAACTGCAGTAAGTCTATCGCACCCCCCCCCCCTTCCCTCCTCCCTTGGGTTATTGTGAAGGGGAGAAAAAATAGCATTGGAAGGGACTCCGTGACCTTTGAGATCTGGTCTGGTGGTATCTGATGACCTTGGTAAGAGGTGCCTCTCTAGCAAGGGAGAAAAGGAGGGTGGGGAGGGGAGAAGGCCCCAACCAGGCCTGGGCAATGCTGCACAAGGGCTTATAAAGACAGCCAGTCAGACCTGCCTCAGCTCGAACTCCTAAGTCGAAACCAAGTGTGGAATGGTAGCTGACAGAAGCCTCAGGAGTCTCGGGGAGCTGCCTTTTCTCCAAGCAGGAAGATGACCATCAGAGATGACCACTTCCACCCACACCGAAAGGGCAAGTCACTAGTGGACAAAATGAGAGTTAGCCCCACTCCCATCCAGCACTGATGGTGTTTGCCTAGCTGGGTGATGAAATGTCTGCAAGGAAACACTCAAGGTCAGGGAGCACCGTCCTCGTCCTCCAACTGTCAGACAAAGGATGTTGGATTATTTGAAATCAGTCTGGCCAAAGTTTGCTTTTTTCGCCTCCTTCTACTTCTCCTCCTCCATCTTCCGTCCCCTCTTTTCTCCTCCTTCCCCTCCTTCTCTTCCCCTTCCTCTCTACTCTGTAAACCCCACTACCTTCTAGTACTGATCATGTTATCTAGTTGGGTCATGAAACATCTGCAAGAAAACATCCAAGGACTCACAAGCAGAAAATTGTCAAGAGGAAGTCCAAAGAATATCTATCTATCTATCTATCTATCTATCTATCTATCTATCTATTTACCTCTACCTCTACCTCTATCTACCTCTACCTACCTACCTACCTACCTATCTATCTATCTATCTATCTATCTATCTATCTATCTATCTATCTATCCCTCTCTCTCCCTCTCTCTCCCTCCCTCCCCCCCCCTCTAATTTATATGCTGCCCATCTGTTATAGCGTTCCTGGGCAGCTTACAGAATAATAATAATTAAAAAAACCATAATACAAAGAAGTTACCAAACAGTTAAAATTAAGAGGATCAAATATGAATCTAAAAAGGAAGAGGACAGGCGACAGAGGTAGGAATCTTCCCTCTACTCCATCAGCCTCCCCCAGCCAAGAACGTCCCTGTCGGGGCCCTAGGCCAACTGGCAGAGGGAGAATATTGCAAACAGCAGAAAAGGCTCTTCTGAAGTTTTTCGTCAGGCAGGATCCAAAATCGGCCTCTTTCAATGAAACGAGTGGGAGGGGCTGGGCCCACTGGAGTAGGGTGACTCCTTAGATATGGAGGCCAATTGATCCCTTTGTGTTGCTTTTGAATTAGCTGGTGAAGCTTCTTGGGGGAGAAGCGAAACGTGTTCAAAGGAAGTCTATAGAGAGATTCCCAGTCATCCAGGTCCTGGTAACTGGACTTTATTTTTCTTTGAAGACGTTTTGCCTCTCCTCCAAGAAGCTTCTTCAGCTCTGACTGGATGGTGGGGAATGGAAGGATTGATCCTCCTTGCAGACAGCTGCTGTCATTTGCATCCTTTGAGGGGGCCGTTGAGGCCACCTGGAGGTTTATCTCTGTCATGTGGCCATCTGTATCCAGGTGGCCTCAACAACTCACTAAAAGGATGCCGGTGACCAGTTCTGTCTGCAAGGAGGATCAGTCCTTCCATTCCCCACCATCCAGTCAGAGCCGAAGAAGCTTCTGGGATGAGAAGCGAAACGTCTTCAAAGAAAAAAACCAGAAAGTCCAGTTGCCTCCTAAAAACACTTTTGGGACAGCCATGACTTGGATGGCTGAGAATCCCCACAGACGTTGTGAATTGATCTCCTGGTTTTCCAGTGTGACTTACTGGTGATAACTTGAAACCTCACGGAGCAGATAAATCAGCTGAAACCTGGAGGTCCCCACAGGCCGTTTTGGAAAGAGGTGGTGTCGATCAATCCCACGCTTGCTCAGGAGGAAGAAAACATCTCCCCCAGGTTGCACTCCCACCACGCTTCTGGGCTGAAAAAGAAGCTTTATCTGCAGCTGATCACTGCGTAGTTGAAGCTTCCAAATTTCCTTTGGTTCCTTTTCCGGGGTTGGGCCAGAGTAGGTGGCTCACCGGAGCGCGTCTGATTTCAGGTCCGGAAGGTTGAAAGAACAGGAGTGTTACTGTTACCAGATATTCATGGACAAGCAGGAGAATTTGGTGGTGCCCAATGTCCAGCAGCTGGTAGAGCATTCCTTCCTCACCTCGGACCTCAAGCTGGTGGAGGTGAGTTCCTCCTCTTCCTCCTCCTTCATAAGGGCTGCTCCCCCTCCCCCAAACAGCACGATCTCTGCAAAATGGGTGGAGAGCTTGTGGCTGGCTTTCTTCTCAAGACACGCGTGGATTTCAGGGAGTTGCCTTCAGCCACCCCCGGAGCAGCGTGTCAGCTTTGGAAGCCATATTAGCCCCAGAAGGTTCCACGCTGCCACATTCCTGGGCCTGGGAAATTGGGGGGTTTTGTAGAGGGGTTGTAGTTAGACATAATGGCATTCTTCTTTACCGTCAAGGTCACGTGATTCCTGCACCTGGGTGAGGAGTTTAAGGTTTAAGGGATGTCTCAAGCTGGAACGGAGGGGGCCATGGGATGAGCGATGGGTGCAGGGGATTTTGTGATTTCTAATTATGGGAGGAAAACCTGGCACTCTCAAGATTCGGGTGTGCCACTATGATAACTCTAATAAAAAATGGAACTCTAATAAAAAATGGAACTTTGAGAAAACGCCTGTCTCGGAGTTTTGGTGTTTGTTTTCCTGGAACGCTGACATGGCGTTTCTCAACTTTGGCCCTTTGAAGTTGGAATAGAATAGAATAACAGAGTTGGAAGGGACCTTGGAGGTCTTCTAGTCTAACTCCCTGCTTAGGCAGGAAACCCTGTGGTTGTCAATCTCTTCCAGTGTTGGAGAATTCACAACTTCTGCAGGCAAGCTGTTCCACCGATTCATTGTTCTCCCTGCCTAGAAGTTTCTCCTTAGTTCTAAGTTGCTTCTCTCCTTGATTAGTTTCCACCCATTGCTTCTTGTTGGGTTGGACTTCAACTCCCAGAATTCCCCAGGCTCAGTTAAGAAACAGCCTTGAGGAATGGCCTCAACAGCGAGGCATGGGCTTGGTCCGGACGAGGTCCCAGATTTCAGGCCAGGTCCTAGAACAGGGGTCCCCAAACTTGGCACCTTTAAGACTTGTGGACTTCAATTCCCAGGATTCTTGAAAGTTGCCAAGGTTGGGGACACCCCTGCCCTAAACCCTTTGCACAGGTGTATAGCCATGAAGAGTAAGGCCCAAACTGCGAGCTGATGCTTTTTTTTCAAGAGGCAACTGGACTTTCTGGTTTCTCTTTGAAGACGTTTCGCTTCTCATCCCAGAATCTTCTTCAGCTCCGACTGGATGCTGGGGAAGGGAAGGATTGATCCTCCTTGCAGACACAGCTGGTCATTTGCATCCTTTTAGAGGGTCGTTGAGGCCACTTGGAGGTTTGTCTGTGTCCTCAGGGTCCCTTGAGTGGTGCAAATGGGTGTGGAGCCTTCTTGGAACGGCTGAAAGGACTGCGTTGTAGTCATACCCATTTGTACTACTCTGGGGACCTGGAGAACACAGGTAAAACCTCCAGGTGGCCTCAACGACTCTCTAAAAAGGATGCAAATGACCAGCTGCCTGCAAGTCTGGAGAACTCTGGGAGTTGAAGTCCACAAGTCTTAAAAGGGGCCACGTTTGGAGACCTCTGTCCTAGAAGAACCTTCTCTCTGGAAACTTTGACACAAGTCACAGCCAATGAGGTAAAACGGGGCCTGGATTCCCTGTGCTCAGTCGTTCAGTCCCTGGTCATCTCACGACTGGACTACTGCAATGCGTTCTGCATGGGGCTACCCTTGAAGAGCCTTCGGAAGCACTCTGGTGTAGTTTGTGGGGGGGGGGGGGCGAGAATGGCCCCTGGGACACCACTGCTCTGTAAGGTGCATTGGTCTGTTTCTGGGTGCAATTCAAGGTGTTGGTGATCCCCTTGAAGGCTCTTCATGGCAGGGGCGTTACTGTTACTTGGGGGACCATCTCACCCCACTGGGGTTGGCCCGTACAGGCAGAGGGGGCCTGCGTGCTGCCTGATTATTCCGGCTGGTGGGGTGAGGAGGAGGAGGGTCTTGTCTGCTGTTGGCTCCTGCCTTCTGGAACCTTGTGCCCCCAAGGTGAGGTTGAGCCCAACCCACCTAGAGGCTTTGAAGACCCCTGGCTCTGCCAGTTGGCCTGGAGTCCTGATGGAGGGCAGCCCATGCTGGCATTGGTTAGCAGATCAAGAGAAGATTCCACCCCCACTGCCTTCTTTAACCCTCTTTGTTAATTTTAATGTTAGTATGTTTTAAGGTTTTATACTGCCCTTTTTATCTTCTTGTAAGCTTCCCAGAATCTACCGGTGGTGACATGGGTGACATGGCCTAGAAATTTAAGTGGGAGGGAGGGAGGGAAGAAGGAAGGAAGGAAGGGGGGGGGAGAGAGAGAGAGAGAGAGAGAGAGAGAGAGAGA